CTCAATTTCCCTCTTTTTGTTTTCAATTTTTAGGGGTTCCTAGCTCCCTTTTTCCCCTTAAAAATAATTTTTGAGTTTGGATATGTGTCCTAAGGTGAGGCTGGAATCGATTCTTTTTTTTCTAGTGAACGGTGAATCCCCAGGCAAAGACCATCTTTCACCAACACCTCCCCGAATCCTGACCTAGCTCTGAGCTACACTCTTCCTGCCTAATGATGGCTTCGTGGCTACTGACTTCTCCAAGAACATGCCACCTCGAACGGGGACTGGGAGTGTAAAGACAAGGCTGATTTCAGGTCCTGTGACATGAGACACAGGGCAGCATTTGAGGGGTAGAAACAGAAAGGCCTTCTGGAAGATCCGCCAGTGCCGTGTGTAGACAGATGAGTTAACGGCTTGGATGGCATGAATGGCTGAACCCAGGAGCACCTACCAGTTGGGGAGATTTTACCTGATTCTACAAGAAAGTATTGCTCAGGGAGAACAGGAGTGGGAGAGCCCAGCCCTATGCCTCCCCTGCATCAGGTTACCTGCACAGACCATGCTAACATATTTCTCCATCAGCAGACAGATCATCTCAGTCAGTTAATCCCAAGGTCAGCTTCTAGGAGGCTTTGGCCATCACCATGATGCCTCTATGCTCCATGATGTGGGTCACCATGCCCCGTGTCTGGTCATTGTTTGGGGCGCCGGGGCATCTGAAGGTGATACTAGAGCCAGAAAGGAACTTGACGATTACCTTGTGCAGCCATCTCAATTTGCAGATGGAGAAACGGAGGCCCTATGAGTGAGCCACATAGCAAATGGGTGGAATGACATTCTTGTAGGGAGAAATCATGGGGACTTTGTCCACTTACTCCTGGGCATAAAAATATTTGGAACCCTAGGTTCTAAAAAATATCAAATAGAGTAAACATGGATATTGTGCAGAGGAGCAGTGTGTGGTATATAAAGGACATGGATTCAGAGGGGGATAGGCCTAGTTCAGCCAGTTTTTGCTGAGACCCCTTAGAAGGTCTTTATTCTTCCCACTAGAAAATGGGAATCATCATCCTGGGCCTGCTAGCTTCAAGGGACTATTGAGATGATCCAAGGTGACGGGACTGAACTCATCCTATGGACTAAGGTAAGTCTATACCAGTTACCAGGTGGCACAGAGTCCGCTCAGGGTAAGTCTATAAGGGTCCTCAAATCTCAACCTTGAATGGGGAATGCCATACACGAGACTCCTCAGAACAATATCAATACTGGATATCAATACTGGATATCTCAGCTGGTCCCACCTACCTTGCTAGGATCTGAAGGAACACTGGCTCACTTCTATTGTCCATAGCTCAATATTGCTTTTTGCTTGGTCGGCTTTGTCCTCTCTGATTTGGTTTCCCATTTTAGATATTTATCTCACATCAGCAAATACTGATTCAGTAAAACAAATAAGGGCATTCACATGGAGGTGCTGAAATTCACATATCACTCCCAAGTGAGCTCTCTCCCTCCCAACTCCATTTCAACCTTGATAACGGGGTATTGTCATCATCTGCCTATAAGACTACCTTGGTTCCCTCCCTCCAGACCTGAACTCCTCAAGGAAGTCAGGATCTTATTCTGCCTCAGGTTCTTGGAGCTCGGTACAGGATCTAATAACAGACCACATCCTTAAGAGGCCTGAGCCTGGTCAGGGCCAGCGGTGGGAGCCACCAGTTAACATTTGTGGAACCTTCCCTTTGAGGAAGCGGGTGTCATGGTAGGTGTTTTGGCTCCATTTTACAGGGGAGAAAACTGAGGTTCCAAGAAGTGAGTTCACAAAGGCAAGGGCATAAAGTTTAGGGCTCCCTGAAGTCTCACATCTCAAAATTCTTTAGTTTGAGACCATCCTCCACATCCAGTCCTATCCCCATACACCAAAGGGAGCTCAAGGACTTCTGCTGAAGCCTACAGTTGCTGCCTGACCAGACTCCCCCCTTCACCTTGAGCCAGCTCAACCTTCGAAGTTCTTCACAAGATATTCTCTTCCCCCAAACCTGGAAGGGTCAACTCTCTCCTTCTTTTAGCTTTAGGAAGACCCTGGAGGTCAGGGGAAAGTTTACTGGACAGAAGTGGAACAAAAGACCCCCTCTCTGTCAAGACCATCTTCCATCACGTGGCAGAGAGCACTTTAAAGATGAGCTCAGGTCACTGAGATTTTATCCTGGCTCTGGCAATGGACAGGGCCCAGTAACCATCACTCTGGGACCTGTCCCTCGGCTATTCACTGGAAGCCGGCTTTCCTTCTACTGTCTTTCCCGGCCCTCCTCCCTCCCTCCCTCCCTCCCCAGTCTACCCTTTTCCTCTTGCCCTTTCCCTCTGACTCTGGACCGCAGGCTCCTGCTTCCGTCTGCTTCTCACTCCCACTGACTCAAACCTGGCAGCTCCGCTACTTCCACCACTCAAAACAAATGCTGTCGTGTTCCTTGTTGAAAGAATTCCACTTTTTCATCGCTGCTCTGATCGGGTCTCCTCCTCTCCCATCAGCTCTTTGTCTGCGGTGGCTTCCAGTGAGCTGGAAATGGAAGCGATCTCAGGAGCGAATTGTGTTTGGGGTGGGGGGTGGCATTGCTGTCACCAGCATTTCAGCCACCGATCTACCTCTTCAGTGTCTCCCAGGACAGTTCCCTAGGTTTAAACCAACCTCTTTATCCTGAAGACCTTTTGGCTTTGATGCTTACTGTTCCTTCACTTTGCTTTCAGCCCAGTCTCTCTTATCTGGCAGCAGAGATGCTTGATTAGGTGACGAGAAAGAACATCTCATATTGTATTCCACGACTCCAACATTTACTTGATCTCTGAGTCTCAGCTGGGATGCCAGCTCTCCCCATCTAGATCAGGCCACCACCCTCTTGGGCTCCCTCCCTTAGAACATGCCATAGTGCTTAGTTATAGAAATGTGGGATTATCTATTCAGTGCCTTCTACTTGGCCCACTCAGAGGTCTACCTTGTCCACCATGTGACCTCCAAGCCTTGCATGGCATGGGTTCTAACAAATACTGGTCTACTGAATAATGATGCAAGGCTCTTTGGGGCCCAAGGAACTCATGTGTGTGGCCCCTGCCCTCTAGCTCCGTCACTAAAGGAGAGGAAATCAGCCTCTGCTGAGCACTAATCCTAGCACTCGGCAGAAGGCCCAGTGACATGCTCTAGACAAGCGACCTCCAGGGGGAGGGGAGATGTCAATGGCGCCTTCCTGGCATAGGCAGTATCTGGCCTTGCATGGTACACAGGAAGAGCATGAACCCACTGAGATGTCCTGCAATACACTGCTACTTTCCCAGAGCCCAGCCACCTTCAAGTGTGCCCAAGAGGACCCCGAGGTCCTGGGAGAAAGGACTCCTTGGAGGTAAGGGCTTTTTTTGTCCCAAAGACCACATTTCCTCTCTAAGGAGACTAAAACCCAGAGGCCAGTGCACTTAGATTTTATGCGGTCTTAGTTGCTGAGCATCCTCTGAGCAAACAGTTTCATACCAAGTACAGTGACCAGTGGTGTTGAAAGGTCTCTGCTCTTTTCCAGCGGAGGCATTTACTTTTCATGTTCCTGAAAGGCGAGTGATGACCAGGAAGCAGGGGAGCGGGGTGTGGTGGGCACGGATGTGCTCCCTTGACAAAGTGGGAGACCCTGTCGGGTAGACAGAATGCTGACTTGGCAGTCATCTGGGGGAGGGGCTGGGCAGCAGACTCCCTTCTGGGAAGGGCCTCACATCTTGTGGAGGAAGGCCTATTGTGACCATTACTGAGCCTGACCGAAGACAAAGCCCCTCTCTGAGGGAGTGCAAGAAAAGCAATCATCTTGGCTTCATTTATCACCCAGGTGTCTCCCCAGGAGAGTGTGGCCCCAAAAGCTGTGTTTGTTGGTTTTAGTTTTGGAATTTGCAACAGTCTATTTTCCTAAGTCTTCCCACTTAGGGTAGAATCTTGAGTTCCTGGTGTGTCAGGCCTGGGTCTTGCCCTTGAAATGCTCACCGGCTAGTACGCAAGGTCTCAATGTTTGCTAAGCAAACCACCTCTTCCAGGGGCGTGACTCCTCAGCCAGTGGGGATTTTGCAAAACCCCGGGATTCAGTTCGAAAGTTAGGATTCAGGGACAAAAGCGAAAAATTAAAAGAAAAAAAAAAAAAAGAGACAGTAAAATCAGTCCACAAAATGTTTGGTTCTTAGAAAATGTCTCTAAATCTCTGGCAAAGTTTGACAAAGAAAACAACATGCCAATAAGTAATGCTAGGACTGACAAAGGGGCTGCTAAGCAGAAGGTAATGGGACTTAAAGGGTCAGGAGAAAATGACACCTAACTTGATAGCAATAAAGTACAAATCCAGGTAGAGCAGGTGATTGTGACATGGCCACAGCCGTCACAGCGGTCACTTCCATACACGCTGCGTCTTAGACAGGCAGCGCTCCGGTGTGCCTTCCACAGGAGGGCTATTCCGAGGAGGGCACCAGTCCAGGGTCCTGACAAGCTACCCCATGTTGTCTTCAAAGGTCAGGGCCAGCGGAGGACAGTGTAGAACCAGGGCCCTCTGGAGCTTCTAGCCATAGGGTTGCTTGGCCAGCCTGTATTTATTTTTCCACTTGAATTGCCATAAGGGATTTCACTTTATTTTTACTTCAAAAGCAATACCATAAAAATCCTTGATGATTATAGCTCCAGCTGTCGTAGGTTGTTTGTCAAGAGATCAGTTACTCAAATCTCCTATGGAGGGAAATAGTTTCAGGCGAAGAGCCACGGGATCTGAGAAACTCGGATGTCTCATCTCTGAAAACCTTTCAGCCTCCCTTCTGCTCGCTGCTCCTGCACCCCCACCTCACCCCAGCCCACCCCTGCCATCTGCTCTCTCGAGAGCAGATCAAATGTTCAGGCTAAGGTACTCTGGCGCCAAGGAGTCAGCCCTCGCCATGCTGTCCCTATCCCCACCAACTTAGAAACTCAACACCGCAACGCAAATGGACTGCAGCCACACGGAACCACACAGTAAAGTTTATAAAGCTTTATTAAACATTTCAAACAGCTGTGCAATGAACACACCAGAAATAAAAGCTCCAGAATAGCAATCCAAATGTTTCACAAGGGTTGTCTCACGGTCTCATTCCTTAGATGGAGTGCCTCCAGTTCGGTCCTTGGCTGGCCCACCTCCCTTCCCGCCGCCCCCTCCCTGACCCCTCAGGCCCCAAGAAGATGGATGGTTCTGACTGGAGCACATCCATGCCAAAGCCCACTGGGCAGGGGCCAGACCAAAAGTCCCATTTGCCGGTACTTGTGACTGACGCGCAGAAAAAGGGGAAAGCAAGTGCCCAGTCACCGAATCTTCCTGTGCATTCTTCATAAGGTACAGTCGCGGTGTGCAGGAACGAGGACTCTTGGCGAAGACTCTTGGCCAGTGCACTCCAGTCTTGTCTGAAGCCCCTCGGAGCCCAGTGTGCCAGTCACGCTGTAATACCCATGCTAAAGAAAAATTGTAGCAGCACCCACTAGAACTAGCTATTGCTAAACCTCGAAAACAGAACAGAGTCAATAAAGCTTCTCAACAAGGAATATACACATGTATTTGTACACACACACACACAGGCACACACACACACACAGGGCACACCAAAAATATCCAAACACCTATCATAGGGATCAAATCAAGGGCGATATGAGACACGCATGCACTCTTCCCATGTACTCTCCCATTCACTCAATTGGGACGGCTGGATGTAGGTGAACACACAGCCCCTCCCTCAACCCTGCAGAGCATGCTCGGGAGCCCCGCTCCTCAGGACGGGGCCAGGGCAAGGGATGTGAGGCAGAGCTGGGAAGTCATGGACCTGGATATTCAGATGAAAGAGCAACAACTCCCGCTGTTCTTTCTGAAAAATGGATTCAAGAAAATACTGGAGTTTACGGACAACAAACAGCCAAAACTGCTGATGAGGACGGAGGGGGAAACGGGCGAAAAAGCGAGGCTCTCGGGCACCAGCAATCTCTTCAAATTCGAGATAAGTGCAAAAGTGAGCCCTGTCTTAAGCAGGTGCTCCCCAAACAGGGAAAGGGCAGGAGAGAAATAACAGGAAACCAGGAGAGGGGTTAAGGAGTCGATAACATGGTGGGAAGGGAAGGAAGGAGACCCTGACAAGGAAGGGTTCATAGGGGTGACAGAGGCGGGGCATTTTATCTGCCTAGGTCACCCCGAGGTTGTCGGCCAGGATGGGCACAGACTCCTCGCAGGAATGAGACGAGGGGAGTGATCATCCTGACAGCTGGAACCTAGATGGGAACAGAACACAAACAACCACAAGACCACCCAGAACTACAGGACTACATTAAAAGCACCGGTCAGTGCCATTATTCACATTATAAGGATAAAACATCACAGGCCAAAAAGGCGCCGTCAGGAATGTGGTACCCGCGGGGCTGCAGGATTTTAAACTCCAATGCTTTATGATCTATGTCAATGCCTCTCCTCCCGTCTTCTGCTTCCTTAGAAAGCTAACTATGTGGGCTGTTAGGTGCCCACAATGCCAGGGTCGTGCGCCGATTCTGGAAGCGGGGAATCAGCGCAGTGGTACAGGAAACAGTTTCCCCAGCAGCTATAGCAGATGAGGAACAGCGCTGCCAGGAAAACCAAGGCACAAATCGTGCATGGTTTCCTTTCCAGGAGGAAGCTGAGCAGGTAGAAGCCCATGAACATGGAGTGGCTGAACCACAGGGCGGGGTTGAGCGGCTTGGGGATGAGGAGAACAGGCAGCAGCCACTGGAGGCAATACATGATCTCTCCTGGGCAGGGCCTTCACCCAGGCCACCGGGCACCGCTGCAGGAACCGACCTAATGGAAGTCAGCGGGTGTAGGCAGCTGCCCTCTGCTTTCTTCAACCCTCACTCTGCAGGAGCTGAATCGGTGTGCTCTCTGGCTGTCAGCCCAGGATCACCAAGGCAGCAGATATCCTGAAGAGAAAAGTCAACATAACAGACAGACAGAAAACAGACAAAAACCAAAACAAAACAAACAAACAAACAAACAAACAGGAACAGAATGTATACTTATTTAGGAAAACGGATCATGGTTAATCACAGTAGATGTGACTGTTCTTTCCACCCGGCACACCCCTGGAGTCACCTCTCCAAGTTATGGGTTGGGGACCCTCCTAAGGTATTGTCCCCTAAGTTTCTGGGGGCTCAGTGGGAGGGCTCTGGGCATGGTACCCACAGTGGGCTGGCTTGGCCTGGGCTCTGCCCAGCAGAGATCATGTATCGCCTCCTGGGGCTACAGCCTGTCCTCAAGGGGCCCAGACCCCACAATACCGCCATGAGGTTGCCATCGGATGGCCATGGACTCCGTGCAGGGTCCCCAGTGGGAAAGGAGCAGCTTTAAAGGCTAGCTTCTCACTGAGGTTGGGTGGGCATGCTGAGAGTTACAGCAGTTCAGAGAGCACTGCCAGCCCGTGCACACCACCAGTGAGCACAGCACAGTGCCACCAGCAACACCATCCCGTATTTTGTTATAAGATGGCAGTCTGGGCTAAGCCTGCCTTTCTCCAATAGCCCAGTTTCATTTTGCCAAAACCTGCCAACTTCTTCGAAAGTCAACGTAGAAAAAAAAACATCATGCTGTGTCCAAACTGACCGCGGTAGGATCTGCTGTTGGCACTATACAGAGCCTGACCTCTGAGTTTTTAATCAAAATTAATTTCCCTTCCACATATGGGCAAATGCCAGTTGGCCCTCGCGCCAAGCAACTTGCTGGAAAGAGGTGCTCTCCGTGGGTGCCGGGCTTGGGCGCGCCAGCAGACCCCGCTCTGCTTTTCCAGCAAGCTCGGCGGAGAGGCTCCGCGCGCAGCCCAGCGCTAGAGAAGTGGAGTTTCGGCCACCACAACCCTTTGGCGGCGGCGGCGGCGGGCGGGAAACGGTTCTGTGCGCCAGCCGCCCAGCGCAAAGGGTAGAAAGAACTGCCCTAGCGGAGGGGCCCCAGGGAGCGGGTAGCCAAGAAGTTTAAGCTGCCCAGCAGAAACCATCCCGAAGCGCAATTCGTAGCTCTTCCCCGGAGGACTCCTCGGGCGGCTGTACAAAAGGCGCCTCTCCCCCGCTGGAGGGATCCCGTAGATCCCCATGGATCACTGCTTTTGTACCCGGAGCGCAATGCCCTATCAACAGTCGCTGCTGTCACTGTGGATCCTAATCCTGCTACCCTAAAGCGGGAAGGGGTACGCACCCTGGGACGCAGGAAGCAGAGAATGTGGGTTTTTAAAGGCCGAATAATCGGGAAGCGCCCGCTAAGTGGGAGCTTGCCTGGGTTGCGCCTGGAATGGCTATCTTCGCTTTCAGGAGCAGATGGCCCTTCTCAGAGTTCGGGTTTCCTTCTGTGCCCACGGTGGATTCTAGAGCAGCACTCCTCACTACGACTAGAATTTGCAAGCTGGGGGAATGGGTGCCTGGTCACCGAAGCGCGCAACCTCTCTACCTTCAATCTATACCTTCCTTGAAGTCGCTGGAACCCTCCCTTTTACACCAACATTTAAACGCGGGCAAAGCGGAATATTTTAGAAGAGGGTTAAAATGAAGCACAGGAGGCGGGGGTCAGTGTGGAAAGAACAGATGCATTATTCCTTCCTCTCCCGGGAAATGAAAAACGCCCCCGCCTCCGGTCCCCCCACCCCTCCCGCAAACACCCCTCCTGCGCGCATGCGCACTTTGGTGGCGGGTGGGTACTTAAGGCGCGGCTACAGCAGCTGCGGCAGAGCGCCCAACAGCAGTACTCTGAGCGATCAGTGGACTTCGGCGAACCACCAGCCCGCTCTCAACCACCTATCCATCCACCGCTCTCGGTATCATGGCGGCAGTGGCAGCAGCCTCGGCGGAGCTACTCATCATTGGCTGGTACATCTTTCGCGTGCTGCTGCAGGTAAGGATGCCCCGGCTCCGGGTGGGAGAAGGGCCCCCAAAACGCGTTCCCTGAACCAGCCTGTCTGCGTCGCGATTGCCACCTCCCGGACCCATCCTGTCCCAATTGCCGCGATCCCTGCCTGCCTGAGTGGCGCTACCCGCACCACGCACCCCACCCGTTCCCTGCGCCCTCCTAGTCGCGCAGACCCTCCCCAGTGCGCCCGCGGCCGGC